CCGCTGCGTGCGTGCGTGCGTGCGTGCGTGCGTGCGTGCGTGCGTGCGTGCGTGCGTGCGTGCGTGCGTGCGTAATGTAAAAATATCACATGTTTATATATTGTAGGATCTACGATACGCTCAAGGATGGTCTACAGGATCGGTAGATGAATCTGATAACGAAGATGAATTCCTGCCAATGAAATTACCAGGATCCTCGTCGATGTGTGACTCGATTACGAGCAATAATTTTAGTATGGAAGGCAGCATATCGACCAGCAGCATTAGTTCAAAAAGTTCGACTACAAATCTTCCGAGACATAATAGACACAGACATAATATAGACAACGACACGTCCGCCGAGACTACCCAATTTCATATAAGGGTATCTTCCATTGCTTTAGTTTTGTTGCATGAAGATATATTGACGCCATGCGTGGAACAACTCGGTCTAACTTCTAGCAGTATAAGACAAATGAGAAACGCGTCAAAAGAATTTTTCAGACAATTAGGAACATTTGCTATGGGTGGCTATGGAAGCAAAGATTTTGATCAAGCATCAAAATCGCTTACGGAGGCTTGTCGACTCAGTCATATTAGGTACATGAATATCATAAATATTTGCTCGTTTTTAATATTTTTTACTATGTTTATTAAAACTTTCGATTGATTATAGATTATTAGCTGCGCCTTTAGTGATCGAAGGCAGTGAAAAAACTACGAATCAGTACTCTGCGATATCGGGAAGTTTGTCTTTAGCTAGTTTGGAAGTTGTAGAATGTTTGGTCGATTCCAATAACTCTACTTCGTATAGAACACCATCCATGGAATTTGTTGAGCTATTGGCATTCGTAAAAGAGAACACAACTAATATTGGATTTTCCAATAAAACTGATTTTAGAATGAGATTTAAATATACACAAAAGGCTGTCCGACATACTCACATGACGAAGTTTGCACATCCACGCACAGAAATCGAGTAAATAATTATCTTTAAATTAATAACAAATATATTTAAATATATAATTTTTTATATATATATATGATAAAATAAAATTAATGTTAATTTTATTGATTAATAAATTGTGTTCATATTGTCTTTTAGCATCCAAATGGAACCATGTAGAGGAGAAATAGACATTACTATTGTAGATAGAATATCTGCTATTCTTAATCCGCAGCGAATATGCACTTATAATCCTGTAATAAACGCTAGAAATGCTGTAAGTGTATATCTGTATAGAGATTTTTCTTTCTTTAAAAATATAAAATTTTTCTATAATTTTAATTTACGAGACATTAAAAACTATATGTATGTTTCAGAATCAACAGACATTATTTGATCAAGCTGTGGATAGTGCAACACTGCCAGATTCTAGAGTAGATATCAAAATTTCTTCGTCGTCGTGTACAATCAAATTAAGGTGCTATATTAAACATAAAGCTGTAGCTATTTCATATATATTAAGTCCAATTTATATATATTATCCTTTTCTTAGATTCCCAGTACCGGATTTAAGACCATTACACGATATGAGCCGTGCACCATGGTGGAAGAGATCCGTGAGATCTGATTATATGATAATGCAAATGACAGACGCACAAGTTCATTCCACTATGGACAGCCGATCTCACTATGTAGCTAGGCACGAACTGCAATGTCGACGGTTATCATTGCTGTACATAGAAACCGAGGATGATACGCCAATTGAAATCGGTTTAGCCACAGCCGACGAAAAAAATGATACTGCGTCGTGTCAACAAATCAGTGATGATCTTGGTTGGGCAAGAATAGTAATTATTGTGTATCCAGAACGTCTTGGTGCTCCGTTGGAAGATAGTTCTGAAGAAGAAATAGAGAATGATAAACGAATTTTAGACGATAGTTTGGAGAAAACCCCGAAACACGCGCCTTCCCCATTTACTTCTAGACGAATCATGCGCGAATCTGACACGATTCATTCCAAATCTCACGAACAAGGTCAAAAAAGCGAGCAAAGGTCAGTGACCCGTTTTTTCGAATATGCTTAAATAACATATACATTTATTTTTAATTTTAAATCTTTTAACAGTGACGGAGAGGAACTGATTATACCTGGCAACCGACAAGAAATGTTAGAATTCATCGAAGAAGGCATACATGGTTCTAGATTACAATTGGAGATCAATCTACCTTGCGCTTCCGTCCAAATACCGTCTAAACGCATTTACGAACAACTCTACAATCGATTCAATACCGATTTGTTCTTGTGGGAAGCATCGGCGCCCAGGCCCAAATATACCACTCATATAGAAAGTCACATTGGCCTCGATCTGGCATCTACTCTCTTACAAGAATCTACTTACCCTAAGTAATATTCTGATACATTCTATTAACGTTTTCGATTACAATAGATTTTGATTGCTCCAACAGTGATTATTGACGTCATAGTGCATTTTCTGTATCTAAAATGAAATGAACATAGGAAGCGAACATTAGAAAAAGGAAGAATGAAAAAGGCAAGCGCAGAAAGTGCATTATGACATCATTTACCGATTAAAACTCATTGCAAATGCTGTAAGAAACATTTTACCTAAAACATTTATATATATATTATTAAATTTGTATAATTTGCAGATTCAGCATGTGTAAAAGCGGAATCCAGTATAATTCCGACTCCGACTCAAATGAAGAAGGTATATACCATTCTACGAACGAGAAGAATCACAAAGAGGCACGAATGTCTTCGAAAAGGGCACAGAGCAAATTGGCAATGACTTTAAGTATCAATCAAGGTCTTTTGTCTATGTATACTCCCGTGCGCGATTCTATGCGCAATGTTATACCCGGGCAGCAAGGAGAATTGATCATTCGATTAGAGGATGCCACGATATTTTCCGTAACAGCATATAAGGGAAATGCGAATCTAAGCTACGCTTGCGCTATGATGAGGAGTGTGTCGCTGGATCATTGTGGTTTGACAACGAGCCCGTCGCAAATGCCACCGTTAAGATGTATCAATAGTGTTAGACCACGTTATTGCGAGAAGACGATATATCGCAGCGAATCCGGCAGTAATGTAGCAGCAAATCCTAGTGACAAGGACATGGTGACAGTTGCGGTGAGAATACAAGCGGCTCATCAGACGCATCGTATAAAGACCTTCCGAGTTGCGATAGGTATAAGCAATGCTACATTGAGGCACCGAATGTGTTCCGCTGCTACTTCATGGTTCACCGAGTTGATGGATTGCCTGGATGTGGCAGATCATCCTGTCGCCGGTTACATACCACCGGGCGTTTTGACTGAGCTACATCTGCATTTGTGGGATTGCGTAATCGACTACAGGCCGCTTCATTTGCCGTTGAGATCTATCATAACTCTTGGTAATTTCAGCGTGTCAAGCAATATTACTGCGCAGACTAACACGTCAACGTTGCGTTTTATCGCGGAGGATGTTGCGCTCTTCATATCGGACAAGCTGCGCGAAAAGTCGGTGGAACTCAAACGGAATTACGTGTGCGTGATGAATTTCGGCCTGTTCGAGTTATCGCTGCGTCTGAATGAAAGAATGTATGGCGGTGTGCCGCGAGTCGATCTTCGGGCGAGCAACAACGTGTTGCATGTACGCACGTGCTCGGATTCCGGTCGCGCTCTTATGCAACTGTTGACTTATATCGCCAATGATGGTGATTTGCAACAGCCGAATAGTGCGACCAATAGTAGTACTGAGAGTATCCCCACCGTGTCAACAACAACCACGAAATACGAGGAGAATCTCCTGGACGTCGAGAGCATCAACACTCTTAGCAGAAGTCAGGTTGAACGAGTCTATAGTCTAATGGAGGACGCTTTAGAGGAGACCGTGAAGGGAACGACGATTCAGAGTGGCAACGAAAGCGGGAAGATACCGATGACGGAAAATCGAGTCGAGTTTTTCTTTCCTGATGATTCCTGTGCTGCCTCACGAGAGGCAGAAACGCGGAAAAGTTCGCAAGAATGTAGTAAAACGATCGCATGCAGCGTAGAAGATGACGACGACGACGAATTTTGCATCTTAGGAGAGGAAGCTGGTACGGGAATAATACCACGTTACGGAGTACCTGAGGTTCGAGCGTTGTGCCAAGAACCATTGAGGATAGTGGATAATCATTTTTCCGTGCCGATTGGCAAAACCGATTTATTACAGACTCCACCGAATTATCCCGCACCCGTATTGAAATACACCCTATGTGAAATGACACTTATATGGCATATGTATGGTGGGAATGATTTCGACAGCTCTCAACCGCAATCAGCAAAACATGTAACCATCAATGACAATGTTCGCAACAATATTACGCATGGAAGGTATAAAATTTAAAGCTAGATCGTTAAAATGTGTGCATATATATATATATGTAACTCGTTTAATATAAATTCTCTCTCTTTTTCTTCTTTATTCGATAGGAGTAGGTCAGCTATAGGTGCAGTAGGCTTCAACAAGTCTAGCCCGAACGAAGTACATTTCGGCAGCGTGCCGAACTCGCCGCGTGCAACGAGAAGCAACGAATCGTTGATCGATTGGCATACGTTAGGTGGCCCGGGTCGACGACACGACGTGCTGATGGAACTGCAATTGAGCAAGGTTCGCTTCCAGCACGAGGTTTATCCAGAAAATACTCGGGAAGCGTCTAGGCAGGTGCTACTAGTGCACGAGATCGAAGTAAGGGATAGATTGGCGTCGTCGCACATAAACAAATTCCTTTATCAATACAGCAGCGAAGCGAGACCTAGGCAGTCTCACTCTATTATGTTTACCATGAAGGCAGTTCATGTAAGGCCGGATCCCAGATTAAGTGCCCAAGAATGTTGTTTGAAACTTAGTCTACTGCCACTGCGACTGAACATAGACCAAGATAGCCTACTGTTCTTAATACAATTTTTTAACGAACTAGGCGGTGGATCGAAGCGAAGTCAAGAAAGCTCTAGTACACCTAATAGTTCGCAATCCACCCCGGTATCGAAACAAGGAACACCTACGCATCATCCGCCCATTATGAGCGTGAATGATGACGCGTTGACGAATGACGCGATGATGAATATGTCGCAAAATAATATCATTGATCAGAATCTATTGATACTTTTGGAAGATGAACTGACATTCAAGGAGAATAAGACTAAAACAAAGACTGTTCATCAGGTCCATGATGATAGTCAGCCAATATACTTTAGGTGTGATAGATCATTGAAATTTTTATTATTTTGATTGCATTGAATGGAAATTATAACAGAAAAATTACAATACTTTAAATACTAATGCTAATGCTTTAAAATTGCATGTTTAGGAACGTGGTGTTCGGTCCAGAAGTTCTCATCAGGTTGGATTATCACGGAAAACGCATGGATTTCACTCATGGACCATTGGCAGGTCTGCTAATGGGCTTGGCGGAATTGAACTGTTCCGAGTTAAGACTGAAAAGATTGTCATATAGACATGGATTGTTGGGTTATGATAAACTTCTCACATATTTGGTTTCGGAATGGTTGCAAGATATCAAAAAGAATCAACTCCCGAGTTTACTTGGTGGCGTAGGCCCGATGTATTCTGTGGTACAGTTGTGTAAGTCTACAAATATACCGTTTAATTTTTCGAAAATCAGATATGATGCTACTTTTTCAAGTATTCGTTAAACTAAACAAAAATTTTTTTGCATATTAATGACGAAGAGTATTGCTTTTTTATTTAAAAAAATTCTAATTATGAATACAACGTGTACGCTTGAATATAATATTTGATTGCACTATTGTAGTTCAAGGGATACGCGATCTATTTTGGTTACCAATCGAACAGTATCAAAAAGATGGGAGAATAGTTCGTGGTTTACAGCGCGGAGCAAACAGTTTTACAACATGTACTGCGATGGCTGCATTAGAATTGACATGTAGAATCGTACAGGCATTACAGACCACAGCCGAGACTGCGTACGATATAGTTAGCCCTGGTCCCAGTGTGAGATGCAAAAACAAAGGGCAGAAGGGTCGTCGAAAGAGATACAGTCAGCCACTAGATATCCGAGAAGGGGTGGCTAATGCCTACACATTAGTCAAAGAAGTAAATATAATATGTATTCGATTATTGAGTAATATTTAATCATTTATTATAATTATTATAGACATGATGATTGAAAAATAATAATTTGAAATAATGAGTTTGAGGATTGAAAAATGAATAAGTTTATTTTGTATTTTTGTTTTCTGTAAGATTATTTTTTGTTATTCTCGCTACTTGCTCTAAATTTATATTCTTGTAATCACATTGTACATTTTTAACATTTATAACATTTAATTATTTAGGGCTTAGGCGAGACTGCGACTCAATTAGTTCGCGTGGCAAGTGAGGAACATGAGCACAAGGGCACCGTTGGCGCGGTCGGCGGTGTATTGCGGCAGATTCCCCCAACAGTCGTGAAACCGATTATCCTGGCCACGGAGGCGACCAGCAATGTGTTGGGCGGCATGCGATCATCGTTGGTGCCCGATGCGCGTCGAGAGGCGGTACAGAAGTGGCGACAAGATTCCGATACGAGTTAATCCCGAGTCTGCGGGAAATGGGAAAAATTCATCATCTAAATCATTTTCGGATTGCCAGTCAATTTCGCTCAAACAACGCTTTTCAACCATGGCCGGTCAGGCTGAGCCACTTTTTATTGTAACATATTCATGACATATACGCGTACGGAAAGAGAATACTAAATAGGATAAGAGTGCCATACGTTCGCGTCACGTTTGGCGATATTGTGATTATATAACAATTATTCTCACTAGATCTGTGCGAGTTATTCTCGCTTGATCTGTGCCTCGATTAGGCCTCGAAGGATCGGCAACGAGCGCGAGAAGATGATGGATCTAAAGAATGTGGATCGCCGATGAGATGAGAGATCTCAGACGAGAAGAACCGTCGTTGGGTCCTAATTATAAGTGCTATACATTGTTAACGTAGTCATATCAGTTTCATTGATTTTTTTGTACATCACGAAGAGTGCGACGCATCTGACAGATTATCTAATAATAAATCACTTAGTTAAGAGTTGCCGCTAATTTCGTTACAAATGTACAAAATACTTGTTACACTTATAGAATGTAAAGATAGCTGCGCTCTATCGCGAAGGAATATATTACACTGTGCTTCTATATTCCTTCTCTATACATATATATTTTTTTTTGTTTTGATCATGTGAATGTTTTATACCAATGATATGTGTATCCGAAGACTTTTATTAATAAAATTATTATACACAATTAAAAAATCTTTGTAGAATACATTTTAGCCTACATTTGATAATTGTTAAAATTATTCAAATCGTAAAAAATCTAAGCAGAAATCCTTTATCTTTTAATAAAAATTTGAAATTCTCCTCAAACGAACGTTTCTTTATGGGTCTGTTCTTTTTAGCTGAACTGGCTGCCTAGTTCAGAGTTTATCTTTCTTCTTCCAATTCTTTTTTGTAAGAAAGAAAGATAAACTGTGAACTAGTACAACCAGTTCAGCCAAAAAGAAAAGAACAGGCCTTATCTCAGAGGCTTAAACTTTCGTGCAAGGTGCAAAGTTGCACCTTGATATCTTTCGTATCTCCTCTCTCCAAGGCTCGAGTATATCTATTTATCTTGTTTTAAATGCAAAAAGTGCAAAAAGAGAGGTGGGATGGGAGTAGGTAAGGTGGGCGACCTGATCAGTAGCGGGCAGTATTGGTGGGCGAATTGGTGGGCGCGACGAAACACGGAGTCAAGGCGCATCGCGCGCGTCACTCGCGAAGATGCGCTGACGGGAAGCGCTTTATCGCTTCCGATTGTTCCGCGTGACGAGTTAAAGGGACGGCGAGGTGTCTGGAAGCGCCCCGTTACAGCGTTAAACATCCGTTCGCAAGCGTCGGCAGTTATGCAGTCTCGCTTGACGTGTTTATGTCGGCATACGATCAGATGAAGGAGCTTGATTTTTGTCTCCCGACATCTCGATCGTACGAGCGGAATGGTTTCCTTCACACGGCTCTCCTTCGTGGCACTTCTCTATGGTAAGCGGCCGTTGGCCATGCCATGGGACGTTCTCATTTTGCATAGCGAGACGCGCTACGCGAGACGCTACGGGCTCGCTGTTTTTCTAATTTTCTAATTTCGCGTATCAGCCGATCGATAACGAACGATTCGCCTGACACTTGTTTAATTCGATTACCACGAGTCATCTATATGCCATAATAATCGGATTGTATCAGTTTACAGAATGTTTAAGTTATTTCTTTATGATTATTATTCGCAATTTTTCTAAAGCAAAGCGATAAACTGTTGCACTTCCATCTTGTAAACTATCATAATAAAATCCAGCAAATTTTTCTGTTCTGACAAATTCAAATTCAAATTTGATTCGAATGGTACTATCTTCATGTAATCTCAGCGAAAGAAAATATATCTACTCGAGATCGTTTTATCATTTAATTACATGTTAGCTTTTTCAGCGGTTCTGACACACACGGCAGGGTCGCGTGTACTTGAATTGAGCGATAGGTAAGTAAAGAGAGAGAGAAAGAGAGAGAGAGAGAGAGAGAGAGAGAGAAAGAAGGATGAAGGAGAGAAGAGAGAGAGGAAAGTATGCCATTCTACTCTCAGTTCAAGTCTCATAATATAATTATTTAATATTTTTTTACAGATTTCTGGATGCACATAAAGATGGACAATGGCTAGTCATGGTATGCTTAAAAAGTTTGTGAAATATCACTTATATTTTGATAATATTGTGATTTTTATTTATTTATTTTTTTTTATAGATGTATGCACCATGGTGTGCGCATTGCAAAAGATTGGAGCCAATCTGGTCTCATGTTGCTCAAAACTTGCACGCAACATCTATACGAGTGGGACGAGTGGATTGCACTCGATTTACCAGCATAACGAGTGCATTCAAAATTAAAGGATTTCCCACTATTTTATTGTAAGTAGATTTTTTTTTAATCGATCGTGTGAACTACAACAGTCTTATAAATAATATCCTTGTTTTATAGTTTAAAAGGTGATCAGAAGTATGTATATGAGGGTGACAGAACTAGAGACGAAATAGTGAAATTCGCTTTGAGATTAAGCGGTCCTCCTGTGCAAGAAATAACAAAAACTCAGAGTTTCGACACTATAAAGAGGGAACGTGATCTCTATTTCTTATATGTAGGAGATAAATCTGGAGTTTTATGGGTAAGTGCTTTTTGCAATTTTGTAAGATACTACGAAAGTAATTTGAAACTGAAATTCATATATCTATAATAAATAACTGCAGGAACTTTATCACAAGACTGCAAATATATTTCAAGCGCATGCATTTTTTTATCAATCTCATCCGAGCGTCGTGGATAAGCATGCACCTGTGGATAACGTCCCGGCATTATTTGTGTACAAGGAAACTTTGCATTATAATTTCACAGGTGAGTCAATCGAAAGAAAAGACAATTATCATCCAATTATTACCCGTTATATTGTATCAACGTTTAAATCAACTTGTAGGTCACAACTTAAGCGACATAAAACAAATGAACGAGACGCTTTACAAATGGGTAAACGCGGAGCGCTTTCCGACGTTTCCGAAAGTAACAAGAGGAAACATAAATCAATTATTCTTAACAAATAAGAATCTCGTTTTAGCGGTAGTGGAGGAAAATCAGCTGGAAGAAGTCGCGCCTGACATGCTGGAGTTTAGAGATATGGTCGAATCTGTGATCAAGAATAAACGTAATAAGTATCACGAGTACGTTATCGCGTTGACTGAATAGTCTCTTGATACAGGAGTACAAAATTAATATTGTCATGTTCAGTCATTTCCAGTTCGGTTGGATAGGCAGTCCTAATCTAGTCAACAGTATAGCAATGATGACGCTACCTATACCGAGCTTACTTGTGATAAATACAACTACTAACCACCATCATATTCCTGAGGATGAAACAGAGAAATTGACTCCATATGTGATTGAATTGTTCCTAGAGCAGATTCGCAATGAGAGTGCTCCGGTACAGCATTGTCTTTTACACTTACTAGTTATTCAATTTACTATAGTAACATATTCATAAATACTTATATATATTTTTAGCGATATGGTGGAAATAGTTGGCTAGTACGTAGTTATAGAAAATGGTTCGAAATGAAAACCGTTCTGACTTCAATGTGGAAGGGCAATCCTATCTTGATGTTGGTACTGCTTGGATTACCGTGTGGATTTCTATCGTTAATATGTTATGGCATTTGTTGTCCAGATTTGTTAGACGCGAACGATGATGAAGATGGTAATTATTTTGAGAAAATCTTTGGATTTTTATATAAAAATAATATAATCATCCAATTTTTCTTTCAGAGAATACTGGATCGTACCATATGAAGAATGATTAAAAATAGTTGCTATTAATAAATACATTATACAGAATTCCGAAATACATTTTTCATTATATATAGTGTATATAAATGCTTGTGATTAATCTGTAATATGTTCTTAACAAAAATTTGCCAAAGCAGTCTTAAGACCGCAAGAATTTTTATACAATGATTCATATATATTGCTGACATTCCATATATTTTATTTTGGTAAATCCATCTTCGTACACACACATTGATTTCCTTATGCGTTATATAATATATATATATATAAATTACGTAAATCTCACGAGAACAATACGACCTACCGAGTTACGCAAATGTATACTACGGAAAAATTTTATACTTTTAATTATAGT